ATTGAAGGCATCTGCATAATACAGCATTAGTACATTAAGGATAACCAATCATATTTTAGGACTTCAGTTGTGGAAAATCCAAGGAAATTAATTCTGCTGTCTTAAGCACAAAAGTTGTGTCTGCATTTTGGCCTAATTATGTTATTGGGAGTACCAGGTACTACTCTGTGATTTCTTCTATCCAATGGTGAAGTTTGTTGGCTTTGTGGTCAGGAAATAACAAAAAAAGGCCTTTGGAATAAAGTGGTTTCTACTCAAACTTTAGTAAACTACTTTATGTAGTTTACTAAGGTTATTTGGTTGTAAGTGACAAATGGTGGGTATTGAAAATTGTGTTTATGACAGTTGCCATTTTTTGGTTGTAAGTGACAAATGGTTAGCATTGAAAGGGGTATTTATGGAAATTAACCCATTTTTTACATCAGCATAATGCAGATAAAGATTTTGTGCCTTAGCAACCCAACAGTTACTTCTCTTTTACTCTTGTATGTTGAATACATACATTTTTTTATGAATAATTTAAAGTGTGTAAGTTGGTGAACTAAAATAATTAAGTAAACATTTTGTAACATTAATTTTTTATATTAATAAGTGAGTTAGTGCTATAGCTTAAATTATTCCACCGGCCCACAGTGTATATGACCGAGGCGTAAAGGGTGAGAATGCCCTTTCTCTACAGGGAGGATTTTTTGGGGTTTGTGTAAAAAATAAAATAATAATAATAATAATAATAATAATAATAATAATAATAATAATATTTATTGAGTCATATACAATTACAATAGTGTATGACTAGTCAATATGATGTCTTAGGTGGAGAGAGCGAAGTTACATTTCTGTTCAGGAACGAAACAAGGGGCCATCTCAGCATTTGTTCAAGGGACCAGGGAAACTGAACAAAACCTGATCAAGATGGGGTCATTGGCCTAGATATATACAATAATTCTAGAGATAGATTAGGATATTATACAGTAGATAATTATTTTTAGCAGCAGATAATTTAACATTTCAAGATGTTATTTTAATGCTACTACTTATAATAATAATAATAATAATAATAATAATAATAATAATAATAATAATAATAATAATAATAAAGCAATACATATCAATTCTGTCAGCAACTACATAAAATTTAGCAATATTAGTACATTCTATGTTAAAACTTGAAATGGTGAGGAGGTGGTGGCAAGTTTTGACCAGTTATTTTCTTTTTTCAATTTGTACATGTAGTCCTACTGCATCACCTAATGCATCTAGCAAATCCAGAGAGAAACAATTTTTTTTGTTTTTTGTCAGGCATTCTCCTTCTATTTCACAGGATGTGATATGCCAGTTCTTTTTTCTTTGCTTCAGCTCGAAACAGTTAACATGAAACAGAAAGTCTAATGGGATAAGAAAATTTATATTTTTTAAGGAAAATGTTGTTGTAATTTGAATACTCTTTTACACTGTAGAACATGTTGTTAAGCAGCAAAGCTTTCAATTTACTTTTAAAAGAAACTTAAAAAAGAGAAAGATGGAAGATTTGGATAGAGCTGGTGAAAATTATAATGAAAATAATTCAAATACCAAATTTATGGCAACAGGTAGGACTCTTTTTAGTCCCAATTATGATGGAGATACTAAAATTATTGAGAGTATTACAGTTGAGTCTTAATGTATATGTTAACGATGAAAGTACAACAAAGATATGCCTAGTCCTAATGGTTATTTCCTTAAGTTATTTCTGAAAATGAATTAGTTTTTGTTATAAACATCTATGAAGTAAATGCAGGTGATTTCTTTTCACCTGTTTCATCTAATCAAGATAATTCAAGTGTATAATAGATTGTACAGAGAAGTTTATATTTTGCCCTGTGCCTTCATCTAATTTCAAATTAGGGCTTACTTTAGTGTCCTCTGTGAATTATTGTATGTCCTGATCTGGAAAGCCCTTCACAAAAAGGAGGAGGAATTTGATGACTTCAAAAATGCAGTGAAGTCTGGGTCTAACTTCATCTACTAATGAGGAGGAAACAAATGACAAATATCTGTTCTTTTAGCATGGTATCATCCATTTGCTGGCTACAAGGGAGAAATTCTATTTTTTTGAAAAATATTACGATTCTACCTTGGGTGCACCAAACTTTCTGAGCAGTGAATGGTTAAATACCAGTCTAAAAGTGCCCCAAAATATGGACATCCAGTGGGGGTAACTGAGGGCAGATAAAATGCATATTAAAAATCTTGTTTCAAGTAAAGGAATTGTACCTCAGAGACTCTTTACATTTTGAAATCAATTCACAATAAATTATAAAAATAAATAAATATTTCTTTCCAAGATTGCTTAATTTGGTTTCTGTTATACTTCTTAATTTATGCTAGTAAAATTGTTTGTTTTTTGTTTTGTTTTACATTTGTGCTATAAAGAGATTTATAAAAATATTATATCAATTTAAAATAAATTGAGTTTTATCTTAATTTCATTTACTAATTATGAATGTCTATATATTGGTTAGTTGACAATTTGTTTGCCCAGTTGACTGAAGACTACCTGAAAATGAAAACTTGATAATAAACATGAGATATTAACAATCATAGCTTAGCCCTAACTGAAAATCTAGGACATTGTATGATACACCTACATTTAGTATTTAGATCATGATAAACCATACCCAACCTAAATTTAACTCCAAAGTTCAACAAATGATTACTAAGTGTTTTAATTGTAAGTGCATTTTTCTAAACAAATTTAGCTGTATGTTAACAGATACCTTTGAATGTAACTTGTAAAAACCTTGTACACTAGCATTTATTTTAAAATTAAATGTGCGGTAACAGCATTTAATAATTACAAATTAAGAATTTCACAAAAAATGCACTGTCATAAAATAGAGTATTAACAAAACAATAGGAAAAATTCAAACACTTCAATAAGTTGGGAATTACTGTATGAAGTTGTTAAACTTTAAATCTCAATTTTTCATCTTGAGTTCAGTTGCAGATAACAATGTCTGTGCATAGCATGCCAGTATTGCTCATGTCTTTAGTTTTCCTGCAAACTAATGACCTTTTCAAAGTAACAAAATATTGCTTTGTTTGATGAAACATAATAGTGTAAAGGCAGTGTGTGTTTTATGTGTCTGCTTTTGAAGAGCAAATGTCAAGAATTTGTTACCCACTGATTCATTGTCTTACTCTTTCATACAATAGAAGCAGTATTTAAACTCCTTGTATATAAATTCTGAACATTAAAAATTTGTTACTGCATTTAATAAATACTTTTAATTCAATATGTTTCATAATGTTGTACTTCTATAATATCAACTTAACACATCCACACAGGAATGAAAAGCCTGTTTGGTCTGCAACTGTTACTTGCTTTTTTCCGGCCTGTACAAAATTAGATATTTGTAATTGTATATTCAATAATAATGAAAAGTGAGACTATCACATAATGGAAGGCGATGTTCTATATTTGGGGGGAAAAAGTGAGGAAAGTTGGTCAGTATGTTATGATCTTCTTATCGAGCCCATCTAAAAACAAAGATCACCCTAAAATTTATAGGAATGCAAGTTGAAGCAGATAAAATGATCTCACAATCATAAAAGTTTCTCTGTTGTATGTATTCAAGAAAGCAATGAAATGGTGGACGTGATTATTTTTTACAGGGAAAATTTTGTTATTTAGGGTAACATCAGTGAGTGTAGCTCAATTCAAAGAAAGTTAAAATACAAAATAAGTATTTTTTCTAGAAGGTAATAGCATAGAAAATGAATGTTTATGTGCAAAAAGAAAAAATTATGACACTTATTTTAATTAAGAACCGATCTTTGGCCTTCTGAAATAATACCTTCAAAGAAGTTTAATTCCTAAGTGAATAGAATTGAATTAAATTAATACCTCATTTTATGTGGCGAAACTCGGGCCATCAGGCCCGCTCTTTCGTCTGACCAGGCAAATTTCTCTACGCTCCGGAGAAAGGAGGTATTTCTTGGGCGATGAAACAGGTGATCTGAATTTAGGTCAGAGGTGTCATTTAGGTTTGAGGATCTTTTAAATGCAAGTTAATCTACTAACATGGGACAGCTGACTTTACTTCCCTCTGAAGGAAGGCATACAAATGATTTCTTTGCCTGTAAAAATCCACGTCGTCGATCGGGTTGAACCCACCAACTTGGATTTAACAGTCCAATACGCTAACTGTTATACCATCGCCGTCGCAAATGGTTAATACAGAGTGCCCCTGTATGGCAGCATGCTTGCTTCTCAGGAACAAGGACCCAAGTGCATTTGTATTACATTTACTTCCGGAACTGTATTCAAAGAGATTACTCTAATCTACACTGTCATGGATTAAAAGAGCAGAAGGAAAAGGAAAAATCTAATGAGGAAGGTTGCATAAGTATCCAAATGTAACAAATGACATAATATAATAATAACGGGTTTGCTACATATAATCCATAATGTTTCATTGTGATTTGGGTCCTGAAGAGATTTAGCTAAATGTAGATCGCTATATGTTATCAGGTGATAATGCCAATAGTCACTTGTAAACTCTGAAATTTTTAATCCTTATGTACTCTACCAGCCTTTCATCATTTCTCTATCCAACAATTTCAGAATTACTGTTTATTTTTTCACTCTTCAGAGGTTTTAGTATAAAGTTTTAATATGCAATCAAATAACTTAGGGTAATTTATCCATCTAACTCAGTATCCTCAGTATGAAATATCATGTTGTATCTTATTCCTTTTCTCTTTAGAGATAGATGTCTCTTTAGATAATAACGCTCTATTTCTTTTTGTTGAATAAAGATTATCCGTGAAAGAAAAACTGTCATCTGGTCTGCATCTACTTTTTAGATATTTTCTTAGTTATTCTGAGAATCTAGTGATACAATTGTCACTTAAGATAAATAGGAGAATGCTTTTAATCAGGAAGTAATTTTGTCTTAAAAAATTTTTAAGTTAATTATGATCTCTATCTTGTTTTTTAACATATTTTTGTCTTACAGGTCTTAAGCAGATGCAAGATAAATTAAAAGGTGTGGATTGCATCATTGAAGTTCATGATGCTCGTGTATCCTTTACCTGTGTTAGAGATCATTTATTGAGTATTCAACCTAGATCTCATCATAGCATGCTAAGTTGATGTTGATTAATATTGTGCTAACAGGTGTTGAGCTAAAATTAAATTTACTATTATACCCTTGCTAGTATATAAGTTTGAGAAAAGCAAAAGAAAAGAAAAAACAACTTCAGATGTTACAGGAAATAAGACCACAGAATATGTTGTGAACATTATACCAAGCACTGAACTCTTGAGAGTAAAGAAATTCATGGCCAACAGTACAACAGTACATTCTACAGGATCTCACTAACTATTCAGCACTGCAGCACCCAGCGGTGTGGCATATCTTGGATGACCAGCTGTGGGAGACAAGACTCAAAAAATTCAATCGTCTTTAAATTCACACAAAGTAAAAGTTCAGTTTTTTTGTTGACACAATACAAAATCTTTTTCTTAGTCATGAATGGTTTGTTATGTGATCTTAGATAATTTCTCTACTGATTTGTCTGTTAAGCAACTAAATAACGCATATATCCACATTTGCTTCTGCCATGAAAATAGTCCTTGCCAACATGAAAGAGTTGCTGTCACATATTACTGCATCCACAACATATCTCAGCTTGGGTTATTATGAGTTAGGCACAGATTAGCCTCTGGTGCAGTTGCAAAAGAGACTGCTTTATTTTCAGGGACTGCAATACAATGCTTTTGATCCCGTTTTTTTGCCCCACAATCATTTTTAGTATCTGACTATGGTTAGTGTGTTTCTAATGTGATTGGCCTTAACTCAGGCCTTCTCTTCTCTCACTTCTTCCAATAGTTCTGTAAGGCAAGTAGTGAAAAGTCTCCCTAGTCCAGCAAAGGAATGTAGCTTTTTTCTACAGATTGTTGGTTCTATGGTGAACCACCGTTCTTGAATAAGCTTTTGATCATGAAGACATTTTGCATTATAACATTTCAGATGGCTGACTCCAATCTTCTCAGGTGACAAGATACTGCTTGCCTTCAGTACTTAGTAAATACTAAGAAAAATTCCTTTATAGCTGCATTGATCTGTTTTGCCCCTTCTGGCATTTCTTTCTAGTGAGAACTTTCTAGTTAATCAATTGGACAGAACTTAATTTGTGACACATCAGATGCTTCCTTCATCCTCTTGTCAACATTGTTTCACAATTATCTAAATAGAGGGCAGTTGAATATCAGGTCAGTCAGAATTAACATCAGTGTGACTTCATACTTCATGTGACCTATTATGGCCTGTGAATTTATATTAGAAAATTGAGAATTTCACTTGAAGTTGGTGTTCACTACACAAGAATTTTCTTTAATATCAGACTAGATTCCTTTGTCTGGACGTAATCCAAATTTTAAATTTACAATAAGTGGTGTGCGACCACACATTCTGGTCTTAAATAAACGTGATTTAGCTGGAAAAGACTTGGAAAGAGACACACGATCCAGACTGCTGCAAGATGGAAATGAACATGTTTTGTTCACAAGCTGTAAGGACCAGAAGTGTCGAGGCATCAAACAGGTCATTAAATGATGATTTTGAAAGTGAGTAATTGTGTGTGTATTGAATGTGCAAGGGGTGATTCTGCAAATCACGCTAATCTAACAAGTGTGAGAACAGTAATTATTTGTTTATATGGTAGCTTCATCTGTCTAATTAGTAAGTATAATGAACTAAGTTGAATGATTGTTAATCACCCCTTATTTCTCTGAACACATTTCAAAAATGAAATAATTTACAAAAAGCAGAGGAAACTACACAGAAAAATAACCTTTTAATATAATGTTAATATTACTTTGCAATATGGACATAAAGAGTTAACTTCATCTTCATTTAATAAGTGTATGTTCTAACAATACAGATTTGGGGTGTCAGAACATAAGAACAAAATAATTATTTTCTTGAATTTTCAATTTGTTTACAAAATAAACTACTCTCTTCCTGTTATGTTTTACTATAAATTTTTCAAAACTGTTTTAAAATTACAATTTTTTGTGTGTATGGAGTATAATATTGTGTACTAGAAGAAAAATATTTGTTTAATACTCCAGGAATATTTTCAGATTGTCCCTTGCATTGCTGTAGGTGATTTTTATCATTGTTAATCAACTGTCACATCTAAAATTTTACTTACATGATAATTCTAAACAGGATTATTTTTTAATGTGTATATGATTCTGTTGCAGATCGTTCCTTTGGCAACAAAACTTATTTGTGCCTCAGATCGATACAATCGCAGTGAAGAAAAAGAACTTTCTATAATGGTTATTGGTGTTCCAAATGTTGGTAAATCATCTGTTATTAATACATTGCGGAATCTACGGTTGCGAAAAGGTAAAGAGCATTCCATGCAGTCAAATCCCTTGCCTTGAATTGTCTTGAACATGATTTCCAAATTTTGTTTTGAGAATTCCTAAGACCAATGTAAATTTAGTCCCCTTTATGCTGACCAACCCTAACTCTGACCAGCACCCACTAGTTTACATAGAAAAATTGCTCTTCCTCATACGGCAACACCTTCTGTCTTTCTCAAAAATATTTGTATAATTTTTTAACAATTGTATTCTTCCATATTCGAAGATTTCTCTGCAAACAGTGCAGACTAGAAACTGTAGTGTGGAATGAATGTGGACAGAAATAATAGGTGTCTATTGCGAATGAGTTGAAGAGTGTGACAGTTTCTTAGGTGTTCTTATGCAATTAGTTGGGTGGCAAGAATGTAAGATCAAGTTTAATCTGACCCAATCAGGAACTGTGTATGAGTTTCTGTTGCTGTGTCTTTGGAAATCTTGAGCCACAGAATCAAGTAAATGATGGGGAGAGTGGAGTACCTGCATTACCAGAAGCGTTTCTGTAAAACATTATCATTCACTTGCATATACATTAAATAGTATGGACTAACCTAATGTATAATTTTAGAATGTAGATCTTAAAAACTGTAAGTGACTAATATATAATGTTTCTGAATCTTCTCTTTCACCACTTAATACATCAAAAATCATAGAGTTATCGAAATAATAACAGCAGCTGAATTTCAATGTTGATTAGTAAATGGAAGTGATGTACTTACCATATGACATACTGCAACTACTTTATTATAGACACTTGCTGACTTGACTTTTTGGCATCACTTAATTGTTTTCTTGGAATGTAGATTATTTGAAAACTGATATTCATTATTTTTATTTCTGTCGGTTTGATTTGCCTAAGATATTTTGCAAATTTTTGCAAATCAGTTGAATCTCATCATGAAATTCATTTAAACTAGAATGGTAATTTTAAATTGTATGGTTTTAAATTTATGAATACATTGGTTTGTGTGCAGCGAGTGTTGCAGCTGTTGGAGCTAAACCGGGAATCACTCGAGCAGTGCAGACCCGCATCAAGGTCAATGAAGATCCCCCTGTCTATCTTTTGGACACTCCTGGAATTGTGGCCCCTTCCATAGCCAATGTGGAGGCTGGCCTTCGTTTAGCACTTTGTGGTGAGTGTTTCTTTTAAAATTATTCATTATATTTTAGCTATATTGAAAGTAGGTAATCGAGTGTCATTTCTCATTGTCTAGAAATTTGAGGGAGCATTGAATATCATGGTTTGTATTCTCCAAATCATTATTTGTGAATTTTATTTTCCTTTTCTCTGTGTCAAATTGAGATAGGTAAACCAAAACTGTTCCGTAAAGTTTCTTTACTTATAACTTTTGGTTCTCTAAAACCTTTATATTTCTCTTTGATCCATGCTTGCTATTCCTTTTATATTGAATTTTCAATCAGTGGAGTAACTAATGTTAGAATTTTTTATTTAGTCTTATTGTCTTTAATATCAATTAGCGCTAAAGATCAAGTTTGATATTTGACTACACCAACACAAATAGAAATACAAACTAAAGAAAAAGTACATAATGAGACCACTACACATTGTGATTCGTTAATTAAGTGTTTTGCATCAGACATAAAAATTGTGTATTTAAATCAAAATGATGAATGTGTCATCCGTTTGTCAACTGGGACCATTGACCACAAAGTATATTGTTCCATGAGACTGAATGAAAGAATTGCTTCTGTGTTGGCAGACAATTTCTGTTACAGTCTCAATAACAATTTTGCATTTTGATTCCCACTTTGATACTAATATTTTTTATGACCAAAATATTTCTTTTTTTCATGTAGCATTTTGATGAAAGCAGATTATTCTTTTGGTGTAGGAAGGTAATTCAGATGCATTCCATTTTCATATAAACTAATAGATAACTTTGTGTGAATGCTAGAAAGAAATGTACAAGCTAAATGATGATGTAATATATATGACACATGTTGATGTATTTGTGTTTTTTGTAGCAACGCTTCAAGATCATTTGGTTGGAGAAGAAGTTATTGCAGACTATTTACTATATAGCTTAAATAAAAGGAAGAACTTCCGGTAAGTAATTTTGAAATATTATTTTTTTTAGCTATTCAAATGTTCCGTTAAAAAAGGTCCTCTTTGTTTCAAAGTACTTTTCTCAAAAGGGTCATATCATAAAGGGTGTCTACTGGCATAATCTCCCTAAATCTCAAGAAAATAAGATATTCAAACTACCATTAACCATATGGCCCTAAAATGTCTATCATTTTTAAATTAAGATGAAGAAAGCAAAACATGAGTAACTATCATTTCAGTATCATTATGTTTCTGTTTCGGTTTTTGTTGCTAGATGTGTTCATGAATTGCCCAATTAATCTTTAAAATTGTGAATGAAACCCTTCAATTGCATCATCGGTTCACTAACAACCATTTTCCACCAAATCATACACATTCCAATATTGAGAGAGAACCTTGAAGGGAATCTCATATTACCTCTTGCTGACCAGCCAATGATATACACAGCTTAAATGTTCAATGCTAATCCAACACTTCTTCATTGAGCTAGTTGTTTAATAATTTCCATATCCTAGTTAAATTTTAGAAAGGAATGACTGGTAATGCTATTGTCTCTTGTACATGGTGTCTTATAAATGGATGGTGCATGTTCAAGTATGCATATCTCAGCCCCTTCTTTGTAACATTTCTCCAAATATATTGTTTAACATGAATAAGACACATTGTTATAATCTGTGTTGAGTTTTTGGAAAAGTGGTGTACTCTAGGACTGATCTGTTGCTATCATCTAACGTATAGTGTACAAAGCATAACAGTAAGAATGGTAACATCCTCTAATTTTGTAACCTTAAAGTAAACTCAAATTATATATAATACCTAGAATTAATATTCAATAAGTACCTTGCAGATGATATATCGTAGTTCATATCATGTTGTTCATTTCATACATCAGTAGTATATCTCATAATAACCTGTTATATAATACTTACAATACCTTCCCTTTGTCAATTTGACTGCCTTGGAGAAAGCCATTAATGGAACTCTCCTAAGTAAACCCTATTGAATTAATACCCATAATGAATTCATCCCCTCATAACTCGTGATCTGTCAGAACTTACCAAAAACATGTCCCAAAGGGGACAATTATAATGGCATAGGGATTTTGCAATCTTCTGTTGCTCTCATAATTTGCTAACTTCTGTTTTTTCATCTGAAATTTGTTGAATGTAGGACTCGGGTATAATTCTCTACTCACCAGTAGCACTTTTACAGGTTTTTGTGATGTTTTCTTATAAACTGCTAAAAACTATATTTCATTAGCATACAATATATTAATCAAAGGATTATAAAACATTAAAAATGTGATAATTTGTAAATAAATTCTGAGGTCAAAGAATTACTAGGTGCTACCACAATGTATACAAATGTGTAATAAATACTAAAATAATTTTACAGAACTGTTCCTGTCATTTCCTAAATATATTTAGTTATAAATAATTTTAATGGCAGAAAAGTATAAAAATAGTTTTTTTAGACCAGCCATCAATGAAATTAGAAAAAATTCTCAACCAGTGTTTGAGAGGATGTTTTGGTATTTTTGTGAGCTTTTTCAAATGTTTTAAAAGTGAAAATTATTTGTTGTTCATTTTTTTCAAAAATTTTACTATTTTTCTAATTAGAAAATTTGTTCATTTGACAGGGAAAAAATAAAATAAAAAGTAATAGAATTAAATTAAAATAAAAAGATGGTAGGGGCTGGAGTTGGGGCAAAGAAACCTGTCAAAAAGCTTAGTTTTATTTTACTGTCATAGTTAAACCACTCGTATGTAATTTGATTTTATGGAACTTTTTACCATCTTATCCTTTGGAGCTGATAACTTTTTATTCAATTATGATCCTAGCTTTGTGGTTAATCAAAAAATAAGTTTCAATCTTACCATAAAAACAATGTTTAATGTTTTAGATTTTATGCCATGCTTGTAATATTTTAGGTATGTTGATGAAATGAACCTGGAGGAACCTGTAGATGACATAAGAATTGTTTTAGCAACAATAGCTGTAAAAAAGAATAAAATGAAGAGAGTAAGAGATTCAGGTAATCAGTATCTTCAAGTTCCAGATTTGCGTGCCGCATCTTATCATTTTATCCGGGCATTTCGTGAAGGAAAGTTAGGTAATTTTGTATTGGATAGTGATTTACTTTATAGTTGATGCCAGTGACCAATGTAATTATTTCTGTTGTGTAATAAAACAGTTTTGTGTAAATGCATTACCAATTCATTTCAAGTATGGATTCCATTTTTTCCCCTTGTTGGATTTCCACAGCTGAAAGATCTGATATCCAAAGACAAGGTATTGTATATTTTTCAAAAAACCCTTGCAATTTGCAAGGGATACAGTATTTGTAAAATAACATTTAATAATATTCTTGTTGGAAAATGTCTTAGTAATTAACCTAGTAGAGTACTAATATTTATTATTCATTACAGAGGGTAGACAAGGGAAGAGTCTGATGTCCACACCACATTTAAGACATCCCTTTTCCAGTCAAGAATCCACTATTCATTTACAATTTCCTTCCACTGAGACAGTAGGGGACCAATCTTCAAGAATGAATGATGATGAGACATGATTATAAAAATTGATATGAGATATGTTATGTATGAAAAGCCATCCATGCAGTAACCATATGGTAAAAACCTTTATGCATTATGTGGTCTTGAACCCTCAGCTTTGAGTTTAGCTCCATGTTTGTGGATGCTCCTTCAATCCCTTGCACTAATCTGTTAAGTTTTTTATAGCAGACTTAAATCTAGTTCTAGATGATCTGGGAGCCTTGGTTAGCTACCTCGGATCAATTGTTTATAACCTGGTGATATAAAATATATAGAATACTGTATTCAGGCATAACAAAATACAAAATACACATAATTTTGTATCTTGCTGAGGACACAAACCTGGGCGCAAGATGACAGAATTTACAATTTTCTCCTAAAATAGTATCACTGTTATAAGGAATGAATAAAAAGTATTAAATTTACAATAAAGAATGATTAAAAGGTAACAAATTTTACATTTAAAGTAATAATGGACAAATTAAATTATATAATATGTCTGATCATATGTAAAGGCTCGGTCTGAGGCGAGTTCGAGTAAGGTAGAGAAATCTAAGAAGGAAAAAGAACTAATCTCGGTTCAATTATGCCATTATGTATAAATTAGTTTAGGATATTTTTAGAGTCTTTCAGATTTATGAACCATTAATTGTCTTAGTCTCTTTAGTTTGCAACTTAACAGGTTGAATACTCTACATGCAACTAGCACATAATGTCATTTACAAATCTCTTTATTAACTATGGGCAGTATAATTATTGGTACTCTTTGTATATTTTGTTGGGTGATTCTGCCTAAGATCCATGTTTCAGAAGGCATGCAGGAACTGCCAGTCTGGCGTGCAAGAACAGTACGCAATAAGTCAAGTTAACTTTGTGTTATTAACAGTAACTTCTTATATGAGTGTACTTTTAAATTTGAGAAGAATTGATTGATTATTTTGGGTTTCTGTTCATTTCACTTAACTGTTAAGATTATTAGTTCCATAAGTGTAGTGCATGTACTGTTTCGAGAGGTAGCATAGTACCTCCCCTGGCAAAATGTTAAATCTGGTAGTTTCATGTGAGTGCATGAAGGGAGATGATTTAGATTTAGTCAAAAAACAGTGAAAACTATGGGAAGATGATCATCTGCACAAGTTTTCTTGAGTTTCAGAATCCTTTCCCATCATTTGAACTATAAATAGTTGAAGGATCAGTAAAGGTAAAGATAAATATATAACATTTAAAAAAGTATGAGATTAGCAACATTTGAAAAACTAGACATTTTTGTTTGACATGTTATAGAAAACGTATATGCAGCAGTAAACGAACTGCAGGTTTTATTTTTCGGCATTGCAAACAAAATAGTAACTTACTCTTACCTTTACTCCTACTACTACAAGCAAAAGGAGAGTTCAACAAAATGTGCACATAGTGAAGCTACTTTGTCCAGAAGTAAAACAAGGGGCCAACTTGGCACTTGCTCAATGTATCAGGAAAACTGGATAAAAACCTAATTGAGATAGGGGTCAAGGGGGAATCGATAACGGGCAAGAATGAGGAAGGAAGATTGTTCACAATCCATCGCCCATTTGTTATGTTACTGTTCCGGCATTCACTTGGTATTGATCGGAGAAACCACAGCAAATTTGCAATCAGAGCAACCGGCCCTTAGACTGAATGAATTCAATCTAGCTGTCTAGCTAGAGCAAACATTAGGTCTCCAGTCATAGAACTTCTTGGTCAGAGACACTACAGTGGCAACAGTTGTTAACCTGAGCCATCTTAGCCACTAACTGACAAGACGAGCAAGCTTGTTGAGAAACTTGAAGGAAGTAGTATGGAGCGTGTATTTAAATACAGGAGTATCCCTCCAGGAGCTCCAGGCTAGATCTGGCATGACTAGATGTTTTATGCGACCCACATTGCTTCCAAGCCAGGATGTCCCAAAGTGAACAGAGGAAAAGTTTGGCACAGACAGGGATGTTAAGGAATCTTAACAGAGAAACAAAGAGGGGAAAAAGGTACTGAGAGAACAGGGATATGTTACCGTACATTAGATGAGGAATATTACTTATCTTCCATTATATGAACATTGGGATACAAGCATTCTGGAATGCATCATTAATAATCCATCTACAGTTACAATTGTTACCTTACAGTAAACCAAATTTCAAATGTATTTTTGTTTCTAAAAGGATAGACTTTCTTTTTTAAAATAGATGATGTGATATAGTTGTGTGGAACTTGATTTTTAATGAATAATCAAGTTTGCATTTCATTCCTTGCAAAGCGATCAATAAATACAATATAATTTGCTTAATTTTTAACTACTGCAATTGCTGTGGTATAATTTAGTGTGTGCAAATGAAAATCTAAAATGATTGAGCATGTAGATTTCTCAGAATTAGTTGTACAGCCCCACCTTCGAAAGTTTGGCAAGTTCTGATTTAAAGTATTGTGTTTTTTAACAGTGCATTTTTCCGTGAAACCTTATTTCGAATGAAAAAAATGTATTGACTTCATGAGGTTCCCTTTGTAAGAAAAGAAATGTTGCACCTAAATGTTATACAGAATTGGTGTTACAAAATGACTAAAATAAGTCTATCATTACAGTGTTGTTGGTACAATAATCATAAATGGTTGTATGAAAGTAATGTAATGTAATGGGAAACGTATGACCCACCATTGTACTCTAATGTAAAGTTCCCTGGATGGATTACTTTGCTGGATGACTGGGATGTATTTGGACATGCAGTATCAATTTCAGTGCTTCCCAAGAACCATAGTGTGATGTCGTGGGCTGCTGTAGAGTAAGTCTGTTTGGGAACTTGGCTTTCCACAAGGCGGTCACTTGTTGGGTGCAAAGTGCATGGGTGGGCCACCACCGGCCGCAAGGGATAGATTTTTCACTCTGTTCAAGCTTCTAGAATTGCTCACTCTATCTCAGGTCTTTCCACGTTTGTTCTCCGTCTTGGCTTATATTTCAAAGCTTTTATTAATTCTTTTAGACTTTTTTTTGTTTTTTCCATTTTACCCTATGCACTTCTGTATAGCAAGATGGGTAAAAAAATGTTTTATGTAGTTTCATTATTGTGTCTTTTCTCACTTTATTTTTCAGTGTGTGTTTTATTGTACCTGAAAAATCTGTATGAATTTAATTTTACTTCCATGTCTCAATTTTTTGTAAATGTTACTTACTATCCTAGGTTGTTTTTAGTAGAGTGAGGGATCATGAGATTTTCCTCCTTCCTTTCTCCAGGGTCTCGATTCCAGCAATACTTCTCGTGCAACATTACACACTGACCTGAAATTTCCGAAAAATCAGAGTTATACTGCCACGCAAGATCTTCACCGTTTTCTTAAACTTCCTTCAGACTATCCAACAACAAAATATAATCTAATCGATGAAGCAGTTTTTGAGAAAAAAGTTCAAACAAATTAAAAATTGCGTATATTTCACTCAAAATTACGCGAAAAATACTCAAATTTTCGAAGAATGGTACGTGGTCGTATTTCAAAACGTACCTTTAAGAAACAGATTTTATGGAGGGAAAATATCTCTATCTTTAATATTTTAGTTGTAAAAAATCCCCGAAAATAATTTGATTTTTTTTTTTTTTTAATTTGCGGAAAATCAGGGGTTCTACCAAAATGGGGCCTGCGCCATTCTCTTAAAACGTTCTTCAGACTATCCAACAATAAAATTTAATCAAAATAGACGGCGCCATCTTTTTTTTTAATTTTAAAATTATCCCAAAGCCTTCATGTAAAGTACTCGCCCAAATTTAAATATCAATTTCAAATTCAAAAAGGCGTGCCATCAGCCAGATTGATTTGGAAATATCAATTTTGGAGAAAATCGGCTGAACGGTTTAGTCGCTAGCGGTGTTCATGGACGGACGGACAGACGTTTTGCTGTCAATTGATTTTTCGATATCAAGGACTCACAAAACGTGGATTCTGGCTACATCACATGTTAGAGAATTTTGTTTATGAATTTAGCAACTGGATTTATCCACTTATTCGTTTCCAGGGCCCCGTAAAAAGAGTTCTGCCGAAAATACGCTGTCGTTTCGCGCAGCATTACAAAACTTTTTCTATACCGTGATAGCGGTAGTGAGAAAGTAAATATTTGTAGCCTCAGTATTGTGATTGCAGCCACACACCGAATAAATTGTTGAACTCTTGCAATTTTTCAGTAATAAGGGATTTCAATGAAAATGAAACCTGCGCCAATCTCTTAAGAGTACTTTATGCTATCCAAGGAAAAATATGGAGCCAATTTTGAGAGAATTATGAAATTTTTTCACGCTTCATGGAAAATCAAAATATTCATTTCTAACTCAAGAGGGCCTAGAGTCCATTTAAATCGAACGAGGAATGTCAATTTAAGAGATATACGACGAAACGGTTTAGGCGCCAGCTTTGATCAAACACATTTTTCAGTGTCAAAAACATGAATTCTGACAACTCAGCGTGTAAGAGAAAGTAATTTGCGATATTGAAATAATATTTATCTACTTTATCGTTACCACGATCGGCAATAAGTTTTTCTGCTGTAAATTCGTTGTCTTCCGGTGCACGATTACAACAATTTATCTTCTTTCGAAGTAAGGCAAAAAAGTATAGATGGATACATAGTTCCTATACGTGCAAAATTACTTCCTCGAACACGTTGAGTAGTCAGAATCCATTTTTTGTGGGTTCTTAATATCGAAAAATCGATTGATGGCACAAGATCTGACCGTCAGTCCTTCCGTCTAGCTGTATGGGGTAAACGTTAGCGCCTAAACTGTTCAGTCGACTTCCTCTAAAATTGATATTCCCAATCGATCCGAACGAACCCAAAACCCTGTGAGTTTGAAAGGATATGTTGATTCTGCGAGACACTTTTCATGTAGCCTCACCAACATTTTCAAAATTTTCTCTATAATGGCTCCAATTTTTTATACTAAATATTTCCTAGGATAGTGTCAGAAACTAAGAGTAATGGCGCTAGTCTCATTATCTCTGATTTTTCGAAAATCGCAAA